GTGTCCCCCAAGGTGCTGTACTCTCCTCACTTCTCTTTTCTTTCTTTCTACACGACTTAACATCTTCAAATGACATCAATTTTTCCAAATATGCTGACGACCTGACTGTATCTTTGCCTGTCAAATGTCAAAGTGACTAATCTAAACTAAATGGCTTTCTGTCAGAAATAAGCCAGTGGTTCAAGTGAAACGGTCTTACTTTAAATCCCTCTAAATGCCAAACAGTCAATTTCACCTTTAGGCATAAATTAGACCTAAACAAACTGGTTAGCTCTCATGAGGTGTGCAACATACATGGCACTGAAATAGAAACCAAATCGGAAATTAAATACCTAGGCGTCATTCTATCTGCTGATCTCTCCTGATCGTCTCACATCTTGACGATTTCTAAGAAAATATTCCGTCTTACCTTCTACATTAAGAAGTTAAGACATTATGGAATAACCCAAACCTTACTCCTACAGTTTGTTAACTCTCGCATTCTGCCTATTATTCTCTATTGTTCCCCTTAGTTTTTCCAGGGCTACTGAAGAAAGACTATACCTTATTACGCAGGATTTTAAAGGTTGTCAGCAGGGTAAGCGATGTGCCACTTAACCAGCTTGTTAATATTCTGGTCTACAGGCACATGGACTCATGTGAAAAATGTGCCAAATCCATTTTATCTGACTCACACCACCCTCTTCATTCACAACTCTCCCCTTGTATCTCATCAGGAAGAACCAGAAGCCTACATAGAAAACTATATGCTCGCACTAGCAATTCCAAATCTCAACCATACCCTACTTAGCTCGTGTTCTGTGCAACAAAGAAGGCATTAGACGTGATACCTAAAACTTATTAGATAGTCAGTAGAACAACTGGATCTCGTCTTTCCAACTCATATCATTTATAGGTACAACGTTTTCTTTCTTTCTTTTTCTCTTCTCCCTCTCTTTTTTCCGTTATACGCTGCTTTGTTTCTTTCTTCCGTTTACGCCAGTAAATATGCTAGCACCTACTTTTCTAACACCTTCAAACACTGTTCAACTTTGGCTTTGCTACCGAAATGCCAATATGTTGTTGTCATAATGAACTGAGATTACCCTTAATCTATGTAGAATTTTATTTATTGATAATGTACTAACTGGATGTAATACTGTAGTAAAAATGCTGAGAATTCCATTCTGTATCACAAGTACTGTTTTGGAATAAAGCAAATTATTATTATAATTATGATATAACACATTATCAGTATCGTCACACAAACACGAAGTCAGCATTAACATGAGATATTAAACAGGGACAAAGACAAGTTAAAAGGATTAAGTCAACATATGATATACTAATGTCAGAACAATGATAAACAGTCTGGGATAAAAAAGGATTTTAATTACAAATTTAATTGAAACATTCAAATAATTATTCTGTTACAATAGATGACTTGAATTCTTTTAAACCTGACAATAGAGCTAGTGGTTATTTGAATGCATTAGAGCGTTATTGATTACTGTTGAGTTAGTCGTAAGAATGTCGCATATAAGACCTCCTGCCCCGCTGTTGAACTCAGTAAAATGAGTGTTTGAAGACACTGAATAGCACTAGATGAACATTCGTTGTGAAGATGAGATAGCACCACTGTTGATATCCTCGTTTTGCGTGCAGTTATTATAAGCAGTTACAGACAAACGTAGGGGATTATACAACGGCTACATTAGCCTTGTTTATGGTGATATCTGTCTGGTAACCTCGCTTGTAAAAAGATAAGATAATAAGTAGGAGGTCATCCAGATTTTCACTTCACCATCTATAACAAAAACAGAACACATTAGAAAGCTACTTATATTTCTATAATTACTATAAATAAATGTTCCGTCAGTTTGTAGTGAACTGATTTGTTTCAAGTTTGATCACGGATTGATATCAGTTAGAGAACCAGCGAAAAGCAGCTGAGAGTACTAATTTAGGGCTGTTCAGAAGTACGCATTCACCAGGGTTCAAACCCAGCAATTTCCTCTTACAAGTCAAGTTGGCAGACCACCCAGTCACTGGGACCTGCTCCGATAGCCCTTCAATTCCATCTTCTGCCAAATCGTGAGTTTAGAGTGACCACCATCCAATGTCATCGGTGAGTATTTGTCCTCACTCCCGACCTGATAGACCACCGTGGTCACGACTTCTCACCAGAATTCTAAGCAACTTTGTTGTGTGGCCAGTCACTGCTAAGCATTAGATTAATTTTCATGAGTTAATCTGTAGGGATTTGACTTGTTTCAAGTAAGACCATAAACTGATATCAATTAAAGAACCACTGAAAATCGAGGCAGTAAGTTATTTCCAACTGGCTGGTGTGTTTGAAACCGTTGAAATCCTCAAATGCTGAATAGCCTAATATTCCTGAATAAAACAATAGAAATGTAAGAAAGGTGCTTTATGTACATTGTTTGTATGAGCTAATAAAGACGATGAAGTGTTAAGAAATTTAACACTTGAAATACGATCTATAGACATTTCAGCTTATGAAGATAACATTTTTGTTACACAGACTTTTCGAATTTTTTAACGATGTCACTGAGTAAATAAACACTGTACACCTTCATACAAGTGTTATTCTACCGCAGACTTTTTGAGTTTATACATCTGGTGTTTTTCTCTTGGACTAATAATAAACTTTACTTGGTATCTTTCGTTGGAATGACTGTTTATTCAATGAACAGCAAGACATTTATTTGCTGAGCATTAAACTTTTAAAAACCTAATCAGCGATTGTATACGCTAAAGGTTTTAACTGAAGGTGAATGATCACTGATAGAAACTTCAGGTATCTTGATGGTAGTGTGTATTTAATTTTTGCCTCATTAAACCTGAAATCTATCATTCTTAGGCTGACTGTCTTTCAATCGTTTAGCTACGTTAGTTATTGTGTCTCAAGAAGATATTTTTATTGATGACATCCAGGATATGTCTTTATTTAGATATTTACAGAGAAATTAGATTTATTCCCTCCTGTGTTCTTTGACCTCACTCACCTTAGTTCCTTATAAGACAGAAATACTTTGTTCCTTCAAAGTGAATATGTGGCAGACAGATTTATGTCACTTATTGCTAGTGTTGAGAAAATTCTTGGTAAGTTGTTACATGAGGAAAGGGTGGTTTATTGTGGTTGATATGAAAGTTTTTGAAACAGTTAGGAGTAATATGCAACACATTTATTACTGAATAAACGGGCAGTCAACTTTTGTATTAAAGCTTTTAGTAGAAAAGGCAAAACAGAATAAGCCCCCAAGAAATACACTGTAGATACTGTCTGGATGTATAAAATTCTAGTTAGTAATATCAGTGTGATAATAACATGTCTACTGAAAATCTTTTCCTCGCTTAAATACCCCATGAACAAATATTATTTATACCGCTGAAACCTTTAAGCCTTAAATAGATGAATATAAACGTTTTCGAAATGATGGAGAAAATTTGTAGTTCAGGTGGATGATTTTGATGTAGTTATGTTCTCCGAGCTGGATGGTTTATTTGCGAAGCTCTAATTGCTCTACTAGGCAATATTTTCAGTACATACTTCAACACTTCAAATTAAAGTATGCGCTGAAGATGTTGCCCAGTAGGGAGAAGGAAGCTTCGCAATTTGACCATCCAGCTCAGAGAACACAACTAAATCAAAATAAACGTTTTCTTTTCACTCTTGTGAGTTTCGAATGGAACATAGAGCTTCTATCTTTGAAGTTTCAGTCGTGATAGTGTTGTTTCCTTAGGAAGTGGGGTCTCCAGTATTACCCCCAACCTTCCTTCTTTTCAGATTTTAATATCGCTTAGCAAACTAGGCAAGGTTACGGAGTGAGTTGGTCGAGGAATGGACCCAGATCAAATGCTTGGCTAGTGAATATTCTACCACTGGACCAGTGAAGCTACTGATCACCGAACTTGTGAACGATTTTCTATTAATGGTGTTGTTGTTGTTAACTAAATAAGCAGGGATGTTTCAGTTAATTTCAAGCACTTTCATCACACCATCGACATGTCAATTAAAATTTGTCTATTATTTGTTTAAACTAATTTTTCACTAAATATCCGTCAGCAGATTTCAATTCATTACACTCAGTGAGTGATTTGATGCTTTTAGCTTTGTTCCGGTGTCAAATGTCAAACAGTTTCAAATGTTTTTATTCTGCATTTCGAAGTACTCGAATTGCATTGTCATCCATACGATATCATTTTTTAAAAACCCTAAATTTTATGTTTTAATCAATTCCTCTTTGAGCACAATTGTATTTATGACAGCTGACTGAAATATGTACGGGCTACCCATACACACTGCTGTGGAATTCCTGAATACAACAGAAGAATGGTAGGGACTTGTAACCGATTGCATATATATACACAATATATTTGACACCTTCATTCTGGACAGTGCTCATATAATGAACAGAATTTTCAGCGAAGTTAATTGTATTGATATTTTCTCTTAGTTCAGGATCTTCGAATAAAACACTAATTGATAGTAGATCACATGTCACAATGCTATCTGACCTGAAGCGTAAACCAATCCATTAAGATGCGTTCCCTTTGCCCCTGAGAAAAGTACAACATTTGGTTGATAGCGAAATATAAATGTTCAGGAGTACATTCTGAGACTGAAGAAAATAACTTGGGAACAGTTATCTCAAGTATTGAAATACGTTGCCACACATGATTATGCTTTTTCTCAAATTTAGTAGAAATTTGAAAAATAGCAGGTTGTATTTATTTTAAATACTCGGGAGAGTAAATATTACCACTAGAAGTTATATTTTGATTGAGTAAAACAAAACTTGAACAAGAGAAATTACATGCAATATAATAATGGAGATTTTTGACAGCCCAAGTTTTAAACAGGCCGCCATTATATATTATGCATATTGTACGTTCACATGTATCAAAACTTTTACTAATCTTAAATACATCATTTCACAAATTTTAAATTGTTTCAACTTGTTTCTCTTTCTTCTTTTGATTTAATTTTATTATAGCAAATTTTCCAACTCTTTTGAAATCACAATACACTGATAAATGGACAGAAAAAAGTCTTATCAAAGACTTATTGAGAGATTATGAAAAACGCGCTAGACCAGTAGTGGATGGAATGTCACCGGAAGTCACTGTTGGAGATACTACTGTACAACAGATTACTGTGGCATTCGGTTTAGGTTTAATTCAAATTTTAGAACTTGACGAAAATGAACAGATTTTGACCGTCAGTGTTCGATCACTTTATGTAAGTTGTAATGAAAATTTGTTTTCTTAAACAGTCTTGAAAAGAACTTGTACCTGATATATTCAATTAAAATGTTTATTATGTTTTTACTATTTTCATAATATGAGGCAGTAGTACAGAAATTTATGGGATAGTGACAACCTAATAAACTTGCTAAATATGTGAAAGAAGCTGTTTGTTGTTTATAGGTCGAATCGAAAGAAACCCTGAGAATTGGCCATTGCATAGAGTCACAGTGGCTTAGTGGTCTACGAGTTCGCTTTGTAACCATAAAGTCCTGGGTTCGAACCCTGGTGGTGGGCACATACTGACGAAGAGTACAAAAATAGGACGAAACAGCTGGCTGTCCAGTACCACCAGGTTTTCCACTGGTTCTCTAACCGATGTCAGCTCATAATGAACTCCTGTAACCAACCCCGAGAATTATTTGAATCACAAAAGGTTTTAGCGCTGTATGATTTTTAATTTTGAAACTATAATGGAGACCTAGTTCGGCGATCAGTAAACAAAGGCCTCACCGAATATACTGACTGAATAAATCAAAGGGATGTAGACTTATTAGTACTTCACATAAGCGTGCAAACCACTTCTCAATGAAGAATTTTACCAGTGAAGTTTCAACGGTTTCATGAAGCTGACTAACAGCAAACCACCGACTGTCATTCGTCTATTACTTTCAGTGAAAGAACAAGTTCTCATGGCTTCTTTTCAACACTGTAATGTGTTTCCACATTTATTTGTCGCCGTACATGAAATATTCAATGTTTTCTCCATGCATCCATTCATACTATCACTTTTTCGAAAGCTAACTGTTTAATTTTTTAAATTCCTATTCTCGGTCCAATCTCCCTACTACCTTCAATGTGTATTATTATTATTAATTCCTTCACGTTCCCAATGGAACATAGGGTTTCAAGCTAGAGGCTTGAAGTTTCTGTATCAGTGTTTATTTTTACAGGATGGGGTTGCTAGTCTCATGCTCAACCTTTCCTCTTCACCAGCTTTATTTCCGGCTTAGAGAGGTAAAGGAGTGCGTCGGTCGGGGATCGAACCCGGAACCATGTGCATGGTCGGAGAGCGGTAGATTCTATAAATTTGAAGATTCAACTTACTCTTGTTTGCAATACAATAGATTTAATAAATCAGCAATACACTGAAAACGTAAATCAGGAAAACACACATGTTTTTTCCTATGATTTCCATTCAGATTATTTGCCACGCACTGTTTTTTGTTACATTGATTGACTTTTAAAAAACATCCATCGAACAGGTTGACTTTTGGTGAAACAATTTTTACTTTTTTGGTATCTGTATGCACTATCTAAGTTTGGGAGACTTTTTCCTATTATTATTATTATTATTATTTCCTTTAATTCCTAGAGGAACATAGGGCTTCAGCCATGCGTCTCCATTGCGTTCGATTCTCTGCTAGAGTTTTCACCTGGCTCCAGGTCTGCCCACATGCTTTCATCTCCTCTTCACATGATCTCCTCCAGGTCACCCTTGGACGACCAACTCGCCGCTTCCCTTTCGGGTTCCACTCGAGGGCTTGTCTAGTGATGTCACTTGCTGGTTTCCTCAGAGTGTGGCCAATCCATCTCCATTTTTTCCTGCCTATTTGTTTCACAATGGGTTCCTGGTTGGTTCGCTCCCAGAGATCTTTGTTGCTGATCCTTTCCGGCCATCTGATCTTGAGTATTGAGCGGAGACATCTGTTAATGAAGGTCTGTAGCTTGTTTGAGATGCTCTTTGTGACACGCCAAGTCTCTGATCCGTATAGTAGTACTGACTTCACATTGGAGTTGAAAATCCCGATCTTATTTTTGACGCTGAATGATGTTGTCCTCCACACAGACTTCAGAGTAATGAAAGCTTGCCTTGCTTTCCCGATCCTTGCTTTGATATCCTCGTCAGTTCCGCCTGTAGTTGAAACAATGCTTCCCAAGTAGGTAAAGGAGGTAGTTTCTTTCAGGTTCCTTCCATTTATGCTGATTGCTGTCTGTTGTTGTTGTTGGTGTTGGCCAGGGATCTTCATCACCTCTGTTTTTTCTATGTTCACCTGGAGTCCTATCTTTGATGCTTCTTCTGCCAACTTGTTACTTTTCACTTGCATATCTTCCAGTTTGTGGGAAATCAGGCATATATCATCGGCGAAGTCCAGATCCTCCAAGTTCTTTGTGTGAGTCCATTTTATGCCTGTTTCCTCATTGCCCGCTGTTTGTCGCATTATCCAGTCTACTGCAATCAGGAAAATCATTGGCGATAGTAGGCAACCCTGTCTTACTCCTGTCTTCACTTCGAAGGATTCCGTGAGCTTCCCGTTTTGGATTACTTGGCATGCAGCGTTGTCATACAACTGTTGGATGAGATGCATAATTGTCGGCGGCACCCCGTAGTAGCGAAGTAGTTGCCAAATCACCTCTCGATCGACGCTGTCGAAGGCCTTTTCAAAGTCGATGAAGTTGAGATAGAGAGGTGACTGCCATTCCAAACTTTGTTCAATGATGATCCGTAGTGTGGCGATTTGATCAATACATGACTTGTTACTCCTGAATCCAGCTTGTTCTGGTCGAAGTTTTTCATCCAAGGCTTGTTTGATCCTTTCCAGGATGATGCGGCTTAGTATTTTGCTTGGGATGGAAAGGAGCATATCCCGCCAGTTCTTGGATTGACTTAAGTCTCCTTTCTTTGCTAGTTTGAATAGGTATCCTTTCTTCCAATCCTCGGGTACTTTGCCTTCTTTCCACACTTTCTCAAGTAGTGGCGTCATCAGGTCTGCTGTTGTCTCTGGGTCGACTTTCAATGCTTCTGCTGGGATTCCATCTGGTCCTGCTGCTTTCCCAGCTTTCAGCATCTTGATTGCCTTCAGGACTTCTGATTTCGTCGGGGGGTTGATGTTCACTGGTAATTATGCTTCCGTTGTTGGTATTGTTGGGCGCGTTGTAGGTGGCGGTCGGTTTAGTAGTCTTTTGAAGTGTTCAGCCCAGTGTTCCCTTTGCTCACTTCTTGGATGTATTTCATTTTTTAGCTTTTGTTCATTGTTTTTCCTATAAAATGCACTTATCATTGTGTTTTTTTCTTCTGCAAATGTCTTTGAAAAAAAACAAGCAGTATTTTACACTAATTAACTGGGATTAAAATATACTTCAGAAAAGCCATTTAAGACTAATACTTTGGTCTACAGTAGGTTTTGGGCTTTTCTTTATAGTAAGGAAGGTGAAAATCAAGTGTAAAATAGACTACAGCTTCTTTCGTAACAATGAATAGTTATTGTAATGACACAAGGGCATATTAAAACAATTATTCATCCTAAATGTCCTGCAGTATTTTTGAGGCAGTAGCAACAAAGACAGTGAACATACAGTGAGTATAATGAAGACAGAGGTGATGAAGATAACCAACCAACAACAGCATAAAAGCACCAGTCAGTAAAAACGAAAGGAATTTGAAACAATCCACTTCTTCCACTTATCTAGACAACATCAATTCAACTACAAGCAACAGCACAAGTGAGTATGTCAAAACCACAATCAGAAAAGCAAGAATGATCTTCATCACTCTGAAATCATTGTGGAAATCCTCTGCACTCTGCAGTATGAGGGACGAAATTTGGATCTTAAACACCAATGTTAAGTCAGTCAGTCCTTTTATATGGGTTAGAAACTTGCTGTACGCGTCACGAATATTATTTCCAACAGACTACTGAAGTCTTTTATCAACATCTGGCTCCATATGGAAGATGATATGGCTAGCCAGAAAGAATTAGCAACAAGAAAATCTGGGAACGAACCAATCAGGAACCTGTCGCCCTACAAATATGCCAAAGGGAATGGAGATGGATTAATCACACTCTGAGGAGACCATCGACTGACTTCACTCGCCAGGCTATCGGTCGAGTGGAAGGTGGATGGGAAACTAGGAGTTGTGCGTTGGTCTGAGGATAGCATGGAGAAGATGAGAGATTATGGGCGATCGTGGGTCCAAATGAGGCGTACGACAGAAAAGAGAACAAAGTGTGAATGTGTCGCTGAAGCCCTATGTTCCACTCGGAACCCAAGGGAATCATAATAATAATTTTAAAGTTAAATGGCATTAGAAACAAAATTATTTCTAACTCCACTTTATATTGGATCGCGAAAAACACTTATCATCAACTATATCTTACATAGTGGTATTGACTTCACATACACTGTAAGAATTCTCTTATGTGGGAAAATGAATAAAACAGAGGTATGGAAGATATTTATAACAGGAATAGAAATAAATGAGAGAAACTATGGGTCAGTGGTTTGCTTTATTTCTTTAAGCAAACAAGGATTCACTAGATGGCATTTCAGGCGTAGTTTATCAAGCTGTGCCATGTCATACACCAGTAGGGAACAATAAATTGAGTTTGACGTGCTATACTCTAAATAAAATGCTGTATCATGGTGTGGTTTATTAAATTATAATATGGAAAATTGAAATATATTGTCAGAATGTCTTTTAGATATATTGTGATCACTATCACATAGACAGACATGACATTTATGTATTACACTTTAAAAACTTATTCAAAAATTCTATGCTACTTAATTGATGATGGGATAATTCGCTTTTGAACGCTGAATTGATGGGTTGTATTCAACTGTATTTAATGCAAATAGAGGTGGACAGGGGAAAGAAATATATGACGGTTAAATCAGGAAACCTTGAGATGAAATATTTCATGAATAAATATTAAGGAATCCGGAAAATCCAAATAACTCTTATCTTTCACTTAAACAATGAGTCTTCTTTTTAATTAGTGATCAGACTTGATGAAGAAGTCAGCAGCAAAATATATGTCAATAAAATAAATACATGTTAACCAACTAAAAATCTACTACCCACAGAAAATATGCAGAAATAAGCTGAGATACGCTGAGTGAACCGTTGAGTGGAATCACTAACCAGGCTCTCAAATGGAACCCTAATGAGGAAAATCTAGTCAGGCGTGTGACGCTGACATGGAGGTGATCATGTTATGAGGAAATGAAAGCTTACAGACAATTTTACAGCCAGCTAATAAGGGCTTCAAGGAACAGAGTGAAATAAGGATATACTGTTGAAGGTCTATTTTCCCCTTGGAACACAAAGGATGAATACTAGCATAATAATAATAATGCATTTAACTCATTTAAGATATAATGGATAGCCTGTTGGGTTTCACTGGTCTTATGGAATTTAATTGCTGGACGCATTTTTAGTTAACGCTGTTCTTGTGATATACTCTTTTGTGGAATAAAGTCGTATGAGCTTAAAATATTTATTTTGATTTCAAAATATGTTTCCTTTGAAAACAGGTGAAAATCACAGACACCGCATAATATCTGATAACTTAGTGAATTATTTTCTAATGCTTACCATTAAGTGCTGATTCTGCGACTAGGGATAAATATCAAAAAACTTAAAGAATGGTGACCACGAGGTGCAAGCGCATCAATAACTTTGAACGTACACCATTTGTTGGCTTACAGAACCTGCAGTGTATTCTACTTGGAAAAGCCGTTCAGTTAAGAGGCAAATTAACATAATGATAGTGAAACACTGTAAAGACGATATTATACCCTGGTTTAACTGAAAAATAGTTCCCAACTATAATTAAGGGTATCAGTTTTCAAGTTTCATAGTTATGTAAACGGTTTCATCTATATGGACAAGGGAATACTCTCCTCCCATGTATTTATTTATAAGAAAAATATAGACAATTATAAAGTACCCTAATACTTACCTTAGCTCTAACTCGAATAGTTACTTTAACCCTAATCCTAATCCTTACCTTAACTGTAATCCTAGCCACAAACCCAACCCTAACATCTTACCAACCCATTGTACAAATAGTACTCAGAAACGAGATCAGGATAAAATTTGCACCTTGATTCCCGAACAACATTCATACGGGCGCTGTAATAATGGCAGGTTCTGTAATCCACCGAATGATATGTGTTCAAGGCCATTGTTGCGTTTGCACTCAATAATCTCTACCTAAATATTAAGTCCAAATAAAAACCTGTCCAAATGAGATTAATTGACTTTACAGTCTCTTACCTGCCTGGAAATTCTTATATTTTATCAATTTCTGAATTATCTTTTCTTAAATTTTTGTTGTGCTTTGAAGTTTCCGTGGCTATTGGATTGATTTCCTGAGGTAGGGTCGCGTCTTTTTTATGGCTTAGCACCGGTTAGAAAACTAGGCAACTAGTTAACCAGGCGGGAAGATGAAAGCTTATGTGAGATGGTGGAGCTGGCTAAAGAGGACTGCAGAGAACAAAACGAAATAAAGATGTTCTGCTGGCCCCTAGGTTCCACTTGGAACTCAAGAAATAATAATAATAGAGTATCTCTTCTGTAATGTAATAAAAAATGTTTGCTGCTGTTATTAAATTATTTTATTTGATAAGTCATAGTTTTTTAAATCCTCTTATTCGTATACCTTTTTTGTTGTTTGTTTAATTGAACAGAGATGGAATGATTTTCATTTGGTATGGAATCCAGAAGAATATGAGAATATTACACATATTAACATTCCAACTGATAAAATATGGCTTCCAGATATTGCACTTTACAATTAGTAAGTACATCTTCAGCAAACGTATTAAAGTGGTTTTATTGTTGTTGTAAATTTGCATTAAATGTATCATTAGAAAACCTTTTCACATTAGAAAATATCTCCGTATTGTATTGTAAACTTAAAAATGGCATACATTAGTGGAAATCTTGCTAATTAGATTAGTAAAGTTTCTTATTGGCATTTACGAAAACTACATTCTGTTAGTCTTGCTATTTACTTATGTGCGCTGTGAAATTCAATCAAAGTCAAGTTGTTGACCTTGTACTAACGACGAAGGATTTTGTCTGTTATTTTTATCATTATTGTCTCCGTTAGTTCCTAGAGGAACATAGGGCTTCAACCGCACGTCTCCTTTGCCTTCGGTTCCTCGCCAACGTTTTCACCTGGCTCCACGTCTGTCCACATGCTTTCATCTCCTCTTCGCATGACCTACTCCATTTCAACCTCGCACTGACGACCAACTTGCCGACTCCCATTCGGGTTCCACTCGACCGATGGCCTGGCGTGTGATGTCACTTGATTGTTTTCTCAGACAGAATTATTCGTCTTTAATAGTAAAATCTATTGCTTATAATATGATTAAAGCTTTGACTAAAGACAAATAGTTTCAGACCGAAAAATAAAGGAGAGACCTTCAATATTCATTTTCTATTTTACAGTGGTGTATATTTTTACACAGTTAGTCAGTGTTTTTATTTAGTGGATTTCGTATGTCTTACTGAGTTACTAATTCGTCATTTTGTTTCCCTTATACTATCACTGTTTTGTATTACGTATGAATGCTGTGGACATCCTGTAGAAACACTAAGTACCCTGATATTTGCAGACTGTTTATTCGTGAAACACTTTTTCAAATGTCTCTTAAGAAATTACCAAAATTTCCATTTTAAGCCCATCAAGTGGTCGGTGTATCACAGATCCTGAAAAAATACTTCAGTGAACTGAATCGATGTGGAAATATTTTGCTATGTTTCGCTTTTTTTAACTGCAATGAAACTTCAAAGTCTCATGTAAATATGTTCTGAGAATTAAAACTACATTATTTAACAACAGAACTCATCTTAATTAGCAATATTTAACAATTTCAGTAATATTCTTAGGATTTCATATACCTCAAGTTGTATTATTACTGCAAAATAAGTACTTGTTATTTCGGTGAAAATATTCATCCAGTGGCATCGTTTATTTTATCGGCTTTTCATCATCTGCGTACAGCCTAAAGAAATTAACTAATTTTTATGTTCGGAAAAATTTCAGTGCAAATTTACATGATCTGAGTTAACAGGAAAATCCAAACTTGACAAACAGTGTAAGTGTAGAATCTTGGCACTGTGGTAGAATGTAATTACATATTAGATAAGTTTATTTTAAATATCACACAGAGATGCAGTATAAACAAATCGATAAGGAGTGGATCGGCCGGGGACTGAACCTCGAACCACGTGCGTGGTCGGCCAGCATCCATTTGTTATCAAACAGTGCTCAAAAATCACATTTATATAACTAATACACCGAAAATTCAAGTTTAAGAGAGAAATGAATGCTCGGATACAATGAAAAAGGAGTTGTGTAGCAAAGAAATAAAGTTGATGAGTAACTAATGGCTTGAGACAATGAATGAGTTCAACTCAAATCATAGACACAAAACACAAGCGAAATTACACTTTAGGGAAGGGAGAGAAGTTAGAGTTAAAGATTATATAATCAAACAAAAGGGAGAGTAAAGAAATCCAGCTACCGCAGCAATGAAACACTGATAACTGCTTCTTTCTGAACATGTAAATTGGACTTCAAGCGTTCGATAGTGATTGCTTCGGCAAACTTCAGAAGAATTGGATCATACTGTCTACTGGTAATTTTTAAAGTTTTCATGGTATCCTTCTCATAAACCTATATAACGAGATGACTGGCAATATCAGTACTGAGGGCATGTGTTACCTTGAAATGTAGGCATTTTGGTATATTTTTAGAGAATCCGAGTTGTGCCCTTCTTTCTGTTCTCCAAATGTGACTGTTAACACAGATACACGTACGTTTGTACATACAGTTAGAGCTAACATAAGAACAGCGTCTGTCGAACTTTGACTGCACCAAACTGCACGTTTTTCGACAAACGTGAACCAACTTGGCTGCAGCATAGGTTCTGGTTACTAAATTATTCAATCTTCTGTCGCGTTTGAAATCGAGTTGTATGAAAACAGGCCTTTTTCCCACTGTGATTTGTTTGACATTCAAACCTTCACATCTCTTGTAATTATTCATGAATGTTTTTCAACATCTCAAAAATCAGAAATTCTTCCTCTAATTTCTGTGTACAGCATATTTTCCTGTCTCAGTAAAACAGAGTTTTAATCAATGTTCGTTTACAGTTATTTGGAGAGAAACTACTGAAATTTAACTACTGTTCAGTCGATGTAGGCTTTCGGTGAATTGATCTCTAGAGACCAGCATCTTCGCATCACTTCCATGTTTTACAGTGAAGTCAATATTTTCATGTTTTGATGTTAAACTAATTGTTTTGTTTGTTCATTTTATCAATGCCTGAATAGGGACTATTCATTAATTATAAAACTAACAAGGATCACTTGATATTCAAGCAATTTAATGAGTTTATGAGGTACTCTATCAGGCTTGCTGTAGTGAATGCGAAGACCAGCTGAACTACCAGTTTTGTTCTTATTTTTATTTTCACATGTGTCCATGAATACTTCAAGTAGTTCATATCTTCATCTGTTATGCGCAATTCAATAATGTCATATTAGTAAGTGGATCAGAAGACAGTGGACTTAAAAGGAACTCTCAGCTACATATCAAGAGGAGAAATTCTAAATATATGTATGAAATTTCGACTTATACAACAAAAACCATCTGGTTTACTCAGTATTTTGCTGAACATTTTGGGAAGTTTGATTTGAATAATTTAACCTATATTTAAAAGTGTTTCGTATGTAGGTGAGTCAGTGGATCAGTGGTTAGATACTCGTTAACCACGCAAGTGGTCCGGGTTTGATTTCCGGTCGACACACTCCTAAACCTCACTTAGCCGTTAGTAAGGCTGGTAAAGATGGAAAGTTGGGAGTTGGGCTAGCAAGCCCACCTCGTTAAAACACATAAAACCACTGCTAATGAAGCTTTGAAGCTTAAGCTTGGAACACTGTGTTCCACTTGGAACGCAAAGGAATAAGATTTATGAATAAAGCAAGATATTGTCTATTGATCGCGGAACCCATTAAAATTATCACTTGACAAAAAAGCCCAATTCTCCTCAAGTTTGCTGAAGCAATCTCTGTCAAACTCCTGAAACCCGATTCATGTGTTCAGAAAAAAGCAGTTATCAGTATTTCATTGCTCTGGTAACTGTATGTCTTTACTCTGTCTTTCGTTTGATTCCGATATCTTTAGCTTTAGTCTCATCCCCCTTTGATATAATGCGATTGTGTTTTTCTCTTGGTTTCATGATTTGTGTTTTACTCAGAACATTGTTACCCAGTTAATTAGTTGCTCATCGTCTCACGCACCTCTAGTCTTTATCACATAACTCCTTTACCTGAATTCCCTGTGTAAAAACTATATACGTGTAATTTTCTGGGCATTGTTCATTTGAAACCTCCACTCAACTGACATCATACAAAATTTGCAAGTATGTTAAAACTTTTCTATACATAAACTTAATAATTTATTTAGGATGTAAGTAGTTGATGAGTAGCCAACGAAATGAATGTTGTTACCATATTATTCTGCACAAACCACTGTTGTTCTTGCTTTATTCAAATTCATTAATGGTAATAAATGTATAAATAAGGTTTAATAAAAATAAAGGTTCCATCCTGACATAGTGTTCATTTAATCACAGTGAATTTACGAAAACTCAACTAAATCTAATCTGAACTGATTAAATAATGTGTGAAAATTTGCTTCACACACATATTCAATGAATAAAAAATTAGGTGAAATGAAGTAACTGTGACACACAGAATGAATGGAATAAAGAGGAAATGAAAAAGGAAGAAAAAAAAAGTAAATAAGAGGATAGTCACCTATGCTGCTAATACTTGCATACATTTAGATAAGAAGATATCAGATGATTATCTGTACATCAAAAAAGAAAGAAAGAAAAAAAAGGAAATACCCTGAGGATATTGAATTCCTTTGAGTATATATCAGACCAGCTATTCTTTTTTTCTATTCTTCTAGTTTATTTTCTTTATTATACTTGACCTTGTGATAAGTAAAAGAGGTTTACACTGCTTCTTCATTTTTGCCATCTTGTTAACTAACTAGCCACCTCACAGACGAACTAATCATCTAACTCGCATTTACACATTAACTCTGCTGCTTAGATTAAACTTACATTACGCTAACTTTTCAATTAGTTGTACTTATTACATATAAAGTAAGTAAGTAGGTGAAAAATAAAATGAATAAAAGCCGTAGAAATAAATGACCACCGAAAGAATTTCATTATAAATGAATTATTAATATACTAATACTATATGAGACGAACAAAAGAAAAAAAATTGACAGAACGTATTATCTAAATATGGTTTAACTCATCAAAATTCATATCGGCTTACAGAAATAGTGCATAGGCAATATACATTTGTAACCAAACACAGTGGAATAATAAAACTTACAGATATTTCAAGAAAGAAATAAAAAGAGAAACAAATAACTGTGGAACAAAGGAATAACAGTCTTTGAAGTTTTCCACAGACAACTTCATTTGATAAAGAAAGTCTGATGAAGGCTACATAGGGGGAATTTGAAGCTTTTTGAAGTTCACAACAATTCCTCTTCTTTTTAGTGAATAACTTTCTACTTTACTCCCAATATGTTTCAGTCCTTCATGAGTAGTAATAGTAGTTATGATAAAAAGCTGTGTTTTAAAAGTAATGAATTTCTTTAAAAGTTCTACAATATTATCTTTAGTTTTATAGGTTTTCGAATCATCAATATTAATTTTGATCGTGGATTTATATCAGTTAGAGAACTATTGAAAA